GGGGAGGGGTAGGGGTAGGGGGTAGTCTTTGAGAGGAGGGCCACTATCAATTCATGTAAAATATATTACGAGACCACCAATTTTTCTACAGCAGGAAAGGCGAGGGAATGTTAAAAAAAAGCAGATCAAAAGTAAAATGCACCAGCCCTCGATCCTCTATCTAATCAATTACCGGTTCCTTGCTATAAATTATTCAATCCGTTGAAACATGAGGGAGAGGGACAAACAAATGATTACTTTCTTTCTCTTTTGTCTTAAGAATATGGTGTACAGCGAACCGAGGAATAAGTATCTTTACACTAAATCTAAACAAAACCAATTAACAGCAGCATCAACAGGACAAACGTTAGCTGAATCCAAGGGTAAGGATCGATTACATTAAACCTGTAAAGAGAACAAACATTAACGGTTCCTGCAAATAGAACCATGGATGGGTGGATGGGTGGACGGATGGATGGATGGATGGATGGATGGATGGATGGATGGATGGATGGATGGATGGATGGATGTTAAAATTATAAACTAATTACTAAATTATTGCATTTGAAATTCTAGGAACGAAAGCATCCAAATGGGATTGGAACAAGCCCTTGCCCATTATTGTCATATCTGTCGCCGTGTTCGTACTAACAATAATTATAGTAACAGTAGTTGTATCTCTAAGAATAACCAGAAAGAAAGCTAAGAAAAAAAGAGATAAAGCTATGACCGATAAAGATATGTATATGACAATAGACGACGCTATAGAGCTGAAGAAATTAGAAGACATAAACACGTTAAAGTCGAGCAAAAAGGCTTGTGACAGCAGGGAAGAGAGAACATATGCTACTCTTGGTGGGACAAGACAACGTCCCATTCCAAAAGATGGGGAAAAAGATTATGCAAGTCTCGATGAAACAACAAGAGTACCAAGGGAACCTGACGCGCCAAAGGTGAGTCGCAACAGTTACTTATAAATGCGTGCGCCTTTTGATGTATATCGAGTATAGTTCATACTTTTAATGCACTTACTAATTTCATTTGTTTGTTCCAGCCACCCACATCTCTTTACGAATCACTGAATAATCTAAATACTAGTACGACTGGAGAATATGAAAGTCTGGATAAAGTCAAGGATGAAGCTAGTGCTTTGTCATCTATCCTGAAGTCTATCTAGTGGAGAGAGAGAGAGAGAGGGAAGGAGAGAGAGAGGGAGGATTAAAATGTGTTGCCAGTCAAACCATCTATGGAACGATGTTGCTCTCTACACTTTATCAGTTTCCGGTGACAAGTATCAGTTTAACAAATGCCCAGGCAGGGTCGAGGGCGGATCTTGGGGGAGAGGAGGGGGGGGGGTGAGGGCTGGTTTGGTTTCGGGGTTCGGGGCTTCGTCGGAATGATAACTACGAAGCCCCTTATTATTGTGTTGTAATATTTGAATATTAACGGTAATATTTTGTAGTGTGTAAAATTGTAATATTTTGTAGTGTGTAAAATTGGTACCTTTGAGAATAAAAACGACTTTCCTTGATAGCTTGT